ACAATCGAAAAGGGAATTACTAAATGCAATTCGTTGTCCTGAAATATTCCTCCTTCATCGCTCTAACATACATACATACGTATAGAATGCTATAAATGGTGTTTTAATTTTACTAATTTACATATGTATGTAAGTACATATACTATTTCATATATGTGTATAAATTTTTTTTTATTTTACACTTGGATATCGAATCTGATTGCATCTATTGAAAAACCTTGAACTGCACAGGTTCTGATTTTTAATACTACTTGCATATGCATATTGTAAAAGCACTAACGTACTATGCATTTTTCGCATGGCTTTTAATCAACTGGCAAAACAATAAGAGTTAGAACAAAATGTTTCATGGGTAAATTTTTAGATTTCATCTTAGCGCATTGAAAAAAAAAGTTATAACAAAAATTTTGAAGAATTTTGTAAAAAAAATTTAAACAGAAAAACAAATTAAATGTAAATCTAATTAAATGTAAGACCAAAAATAAAGAACAATCAATTGCCTATAAAACAACCTCCTAATGATAACTCTATATGGTTCCGAAGTTATACTCATTTATTTTTATGCAGGAAAAGTCCGGTATCTCTTTTTTCAACAGACTGTAGCTGGAAAACGAGTATATCTGCACCCTTTGCTCTTACAATTTTTTGCTGACAGCGGAGAATCATATCTGAAATTAATTGCCACAATGTTTTAAATGTTTACAAATAACGAACAAAAAATGTTTTCTAATTATCTCTTCAAATATTTTTAATTATTAGTAAAATGCTGATTTGTAATTTTTGAAGGTAAATATTGTTTTGTAATCTTTTATATATTATTACAGTCTTTATTGTTATAATTATACAAAATGTTTTCTCTTTTTTATGGTATTTTAAACCGTTTGAAATGCGTGTTTTATTTGTATTCCTCTTTACATCATGAACAGGTAATTAGATATATGTATGTATGTATATCTTACACTAAAACTACATGATTTGAACACATTTGCAAATATTATAAAATATACTACTATAAATATTATATAAATACGTACTAAATATATAATATCATATTTACCAATTTCACGTTATCATTTATGATTATTGTAAATGGAATTTTATGTGGTTAAAACTTTTGAAATCAAAATTTGTCATCGTAAATTTTTTTCTGATTGCTTGGAAATAAGAAAATTTTGAATCATACATACATAGTAAATTTTACATGTATAACATAATATACATACATGCATTTTTTTATTTAAAAAAAAGTTTATAGAACGCTGTAATATTTACATATGTATGTACTTGTATATTCAAATGTATTACAAAGTTTTTCGTTTCTTTTTCTTTTATATAAAATAGTATTTACACATGTATGTACATAATCGGTTTTTAAGTCTTAATAATTATAAACTTTTTTATGATACAGGGTGATTTAGCAATCAGCCCCTGTCCTGACGTATTGAAAACTAAAGCACAAAAATTAGTAAAATGTATATGTAATAAAATAAGAATTAATATAGTTCATCTTATAATCCTAAAACGTTTTCATATTACAGGCCCATTTTTTAAGAAATAAAAAAATTCATTATATTTATCAAATAAATAAGTCTGCAATTGCCCAGAAAAACCTAAATAAATTTACCAGGAATCCGTTCTGTTCAGATAAATAATAGTGTATGTAATTACAGGCCCATTTTGTAATTTTAGAATTGGCTCGCTCTTTTGTTTTTAGTCATAGTAGGGAACAACCTTATGAAAATCCTTAATCTATATTTTTTATTTTATTTTTATAAATTTTACAATTTACCCGTTTTTTTATGTTTTCGAAAAAAATTGTTTCAAAAGTCATAACTCATATGCACACAGAGTTTTTTAAAAGTTACTGTGTTGTTTGTCATTCCCTCTGTGTGCCATATACATCTATCAGGCCTCCAAACTCAGAGGGCAAATCAAAATTAAATTCCAATTTTACATGGGGTTTATACCGAAGGGGTGTCGGAAATTATTTGTGTGAAGGAAATTGATTAATATTTTTAGCTATACGTATTTTTTAATACTTTTCCAAAAAAATTTTCGAAAAAATATGCTTATTAGTTTCACTTAGTCAGTCCATCTATCCGTTCGTGGACCCATTTACAAAATTTATACACCTTTGAAAATAAAAAATTGAAATTTCATATATGCATAGAAACTTATTTCAGTAGAAGAAAATGTTTACCTATCTATTCCCCTCTAAAAGATATACCACCCCAAAACCCTAAAAATTGCTGTTTTTATCTATTTAATGTAGCGAAACCATAAGCATCTTTCAGATTTTCCAAAAGCAGAAAAGTAGTGGTGTTGAAAATTTTTTTCCACCTATACCGCCTCCCAACTTATCACCACTCGAAGTTTGAAAAATTTGATTTTTTGGCCCTTTATTTTCCGAAATTGCAAGATTTTCAAAATTTTAATAAATGCTGAAAGTTAACCGTAAATGTCATGCCATTAAAGAATATAATTATTTTTCTTAACTCACGCAATTAACCCTTAAATTCCAGCATTATGTTAACACCTCTTTGCTTTTTTTTTTGTTTTATTTCAAAGATTGCATACATTTATCATCCTAAATGTATGCAAGTTTTGAAAAATTTTTCGTATATGAATGAAAGCAATTTTAACAATGTTTAATACATAAAACATTAAGAATTGTTTTTGTAACTGTCTCAGTTTGCAATATTTTGAAAAATAACTTCAGCTTGGTGGCCTTATACTTAAAAGATATATATGGCATTATAAAGATAATAACATTCAAAACATTTATTTACCTTCAGCGAATAGTGTTCACAGATGATTTTGAAGTAGTCATGTGTCATTCGCGAACGAAGTAATCTTAAAGAACGAATCACTCCACTGAATTTAACTGATTAGTTCACTTCTTCAAAAATGAATCGTTCATCGTTCACTAAGAATTCAAATTTTCTTCTTAAGTTATTAAAAAAAAATTTACTGCATATTCATTGGTAATTTATGTACACTTTATATTTTTCCTTATTTGTTTCTGTATTAATATTACACAATACAAATAAAATTGAACGATATACTAAACCCAATACTCGTACAAATAAAAACGAACGATATACTCCTATAAGGAATATTGATAAAAGCAGATGAGAAGTAAAATAAATGAAATTCTATACACACAAAAGTGACCGAATCAGTTGCCAATATAAATACAATATAATACAAGTCATATTGAACGATATACAAAATCCAATACAAATAAAAACGAACGAGAACTGATCAAAAGTAAATAAAATGCAATACAAATAAAATAAACCGAATCACGTCACAAGTGCCTATTGCCTAATATAAATGCAATACAAATAAAAGTGACCAAATTAAAAATCTAACTAAATAAGAAAAGTGAAAGATTGGACTAGTTGGTTCAAATTGAAAGCTACCTGTATGAAATAAAATTATGTCTTATGCTTATACATAAAATATTTAAAAAATCGGACGTGGATAACCGACCGTAATGTGTATTGTCTAGCTAAGTGAAAGTGTTTCACAATATTATAAAAATGTCTGTTAAATACTTCTTTCCAATTTTAGGACATTAGTAAGCTTATAGTTAACATACCTACAAAAATGTAAATTTGGCTCTTAGAAGAGTTTCGCTTTGTGCTATCCGAATTCCCTGAAATGCTCGCCAGTTAATTTCGGTAACAATCAGAACTCAAATATCAAATTTCAAGAAATTCCATTAATTCGTTCCGCAGATATGGTGAAAAATGTAAAATCGGCCAGCAGATCAGTTTTCGAGCCCTGATCTTTCCAAAAAATTTATATGTTCATTTTTTTAGTACGAAAAATTTAAATATTGAATTTCAATTAAATCGGTTGATTATTTCTCTTTATATACGCAAAAATGTATATTTCTCTTTATATACGCAAAAATGTCCAGTTGCTGACACCTGATTTCTTCCAAAAGTTGGGAGATTTCGCGGATGGTCGAGCGAAGGTTATGTATGAAATTTCAAGTAAATCGGTTGAATATTTTCTTCAAAATGCTCAAAAATGTAAAACAGGCCCGCTAAAAAGTGCAGTTCCCGAGGCCTGATATATCCCAAAAGTTGATCAATGCGTGCCACAGTCGAAATAAACTTACACATAAAATTTCATCAAATTCGGTTCAGCCGAACTTGAGATACACGCGTGCACACACAGACCGACAGATCGACAGGTTGCTAAAAATAGTTTACTTACACTTCCCTATTATGGAGAAGTGCATTCCCACCGAAAACTCGATATGCAAAATTTGTTGCCATCACATCACATCATGGTATACACAATACGGTCGGTAAAAAGGGTAATAATAATGATCGCTTTTTTATCTAAATGTTTTAAATAAAAGAAAAAACTAAAAAAAAATTAATTATTATAAGTTATTTTTATTTTAAATTAATTATTATAAGTAATTTCTATAATAACTTATATTGGTTTATTATAATTTCTATAATTACTTATAATTTCTTAATTTTTGGTTTATATTAGTAGAGATATTTTGTGGTTCAAAACTTATTACTAATTTACAAGCCCATTACATATTCTTTTCTTTGAAATTTACCATAAATAGGAATAGCCTAACAATTATGCTGTATTATACCAAAAAACATGCAATTATATATACAAAAGGGGAATTGAACGAAATGAACGACTGAACGAGATTTTATAATCGGCCAGTGAAAAAAAGTAGTTCGTTCTGAACGAATCATTGAAATGAACGATATTGCCCATTACTATTTTTTGAAGATTTTAGAGTACTCCCAATTATTGACAAACACATATTGTACACACAAGGCTCAATTTTTTATTTATTACCGCGCGGGAAAAACTCATATTTTTATTTTACAAGATTAAAATTAAAATTTTTTGAAATTCAGACTATTAAATTTTTTACACAAGGTGCACAATATGTTTATATATATTTGTATGTATATATTTACAAAAATGTAAACAAATAAAATAAAACTTACCTTAAAATTATTTAAAAACGACAAATCCACAAAATAAAATTGTATCTGAGTATTGTTCTTCTCTTTTGTTAACGAAGATAACGATTCACATAACTATAATTATGTAAGCATATTCTTATTTTTTAAATAATTTGATCAATGATAATAATATTGTTTATATTGTAATTTTCAAATCAGGAGGAAATACTTTTTTTCCAAATTCTTTTAATATATGCATTACAAAATAAAAATTCACGATGAAAAAACTTCAGTAATATTTCGATTTTTTTCTTTTATGGGAATAGAAACTGCAACTTTCCTGAAAATAGAATTCGAGAGATAAACATAAAAATCTACATATAAAAGAATCAAGTAAATATTTTGCACTCATATCTGTTTGATTGAGTGCAACTATGGATATAACACACATACATTATTATATTATGTAAATGTAAATATAGGTGCATGCACACAGTAATTTAAAAAGAACAGAACAATTAGCAAGAGAGACCAGAAAAGAACATGATAAAAATAAAATATCTAAGTTAAAATTATATTTAGAAAAATTAGAACTATAGGGCTGCCGATTCGAACTTAGTAAAAGTAATGTTTACGAGCCCTGGTATTCACGAAAAATAAATAAATAAATAATGGAAGTAAAGTAAATTTGTCGATTATTTTTCCGTTTATGAGCTAAAATGTAAATTCGACCAGTAGTAAATTTCCCCAAATAGTTAGGTGACTTAACATAATCAAAAACGTTAAATCGCCGTAGTAAAGATCCAGTTTTAGAGACCATAAAAATGTCTGTGAATCGTTTAAGCCGAACTTGAGATGGTAATCTGCATAGACAGATTGACAGACACACAGACAAGCTAACAGACAGACACAAAAACTGATCATCAAACTATGCATCTGAGTTGTTAAGAGCTGAAAGCATAATCTCAACCTACCTATTGAATTGTATAATGTGAATATAACACAAATCTATTTAAGTGTATGGCCATTTTTTATACAATTAAAAAAAATTTTCGCTCTTTATTAAAGTGGAAAATTTGTTAACTTGGAAACTAATAAATTAAGTTTTTTGAAAAATGAGTGCAAAAAATAAATATTCAAGCCTGGATTTTTAGTAGATTCAAACAAAAAAAATATATCTTAAAATTATCAAACACACCTTGTTATTTTTAAATAGAACTACTTATATTAATATTAAAAATTTTAGAAGTTCTATATTAATATTGTAAAAAAATGCTTCTTCTTTTCATAAATTAATTATAAAAACATTTTTCGCATTCAGTTCATTGAAAATTATTTAGAATAATATTGAAAATAGTTTTAATAATGCTACATTTAACAAAATGTACAAGCTCTTATTTTTTTAAACAATTCAACATTACTTCAAATACATACATATATATATATACGTATATATCATTAAAACATCAACACTTTGCGTATTTTATGTTCTTATGTACTTTAGAAATAACAAGAGAATGTACGTTAGAAATTGTGTACATATGACACAACTTTTTAAAGTAATTCTGTTTTTACCGACCGCATTGTGTCTACAATAGGTAGGTTATGTCATGGTTATGTGATTTGGTGGGAACGCACTTCTTCATGATAGGGAAGTGTAAATAAACTATTTTTAGCAACCTTTCGGTCTTTCGGCCTCGGGAACTACAGTTTTTAGCAGGCCTGTTTTGCATTTTTGATCATTATGAAGAAAATATTCAACAAATTTTCTTGAAATTTCATATATAAGCTTCGCTCGACCATCTGCGAAACCTCCTAACTTTTGGAAGAAATCAGGCATCAGGACTTACTACGGACCACATATATATTTTTGCGTATATAAGGAGAAAAAATAAACCGATTTCATTGAAATATAATATTTGAGTTCTAGATGTTAAAATAATGAATCTATAATTTTTTTAGAAAGATCAGGGTGCGGAAACCAAACTGAGGGTCTTTACTTTTTTACCATATCTACGAAACGAATTGATGAAATTTCTTGAAATTTGATATTTCAGTTCTGGTTCTTACCGAAACTAACTGGCGAGCATGTCAGAGAGTTCGAGTAGCACAAAGCGAAACTCTACTAAGAGCCAAATTTACATTTTTGTAGGTATGTTAACTATAGGATTACTAATGCTCTAAAAATTGGAAAGAAGGATTTAGCATGCATTTTTATAATATTCGGTAGCACTTTCACTTAACTAGACAATCACATTGCGGTCGGTTATGCGCTGACCACATCAGATTTTTTACTCTGTTAGCGTTTGGACTGATATTTTTAATTCACTATAATTTGATTTTGTTATTGCTCATATACATACATGTTACTTTGTGCACATTATTTTGTGTAAATAATTTTTTGTGTGATTATATTTATAAGGTTAACACATTCTTGTTTAAGTTGTTTTACACAAAAAAATAATATTATCTTTTATATTTTTTAATATATACTTATTATTAGAACCCGTTATATTTTTCTTTTTTAATGTTCACCATGTTACATTACATATGAGTTGCACGCATTTACAATTTTATATATACATATGCACATACATACATACAAAATCATATCGAAATATTTGATATCACTTACAATGTTTTCTGTTTTACTTATTTTTTTTAGATTTTTTAATATTTTTTATGTTATTATAATTAAAGAAAAAAAAATCTTAATCACTTTAGTAAAAGGGCGGACCAAACGATATTTTTAAGTAACTGCTTATCAGTATTCAAGAATTTATTTAAATTTAATATTCTTTTATGATTTTTATTAGTAAATATGATAAAACATGAAAAATTAAAATTAAGTAAATTATTTTAAAATTTTCTTTTTACGAAAATGCAATAATTTATGTGTATATGTATGTAAGTATGTCTGCACATATATTGCACAATATTATTACTTTTATTCAAATAAGTATCTGATTTCATTTACTTATTATTTACTTATAAAACTACAGCAATTTTTTGTAAACACCTTTTTTTCGTATAAAAGTTCAGTATCAATATTTGTAGTTCACATAACGGTATAAGATGAAAATAGCCAATATCTGTAAAAAAAACAAGATAAAAATGTTTCGGTTCTTTATTCTAATTTATTAGCAAGTTGAGTTATGAGTGATCAAGTGTATGGAATTCAACCTACACTTGTATCTGTATGTATGAATACATGAAAATTCTACTTAATAGAACAAGGAATACTTTCTTGCTTTTTACGCTCCATTGAAAACACCGAAAGAAAGTTTGTGAAGCTTCTTTCAGTAATATTTTGTGAAGTCTCTTTCGGTAATATTAAAATCGAAATTCAAGTCTATTAATCAAGAATGATAAGAGATTTAAAAGCACGTTTTCATCAATTTTTCAATATAAAGATTGTACGACTAAAATTCATCCCATGGTTTGTTAATGTAGAAGAAAATTACAGGGGAAAACTTTACGGAAAAAAATGCAAAAATTTTTTTTAGCATTTAAAAAAGAATTTAAACAATAACAAACTGAAGGCGCTTCAACTTTCGAAAAATAATGTCATCAACCTAAACTTAATCTAAATATGTACATATATTCATCTTAAAAACTTCATGCAAAAAAGTCTAAATAAATTTAGGAGGAAGAATTAAAATAAAACCCATCATTTTTTGTACGTGTAAGCACAGCTCTCTAAGTATGTCAGGAATGAATCGAAAAACATATTTTTTTTGTAACTACTTATAATATTTTAACTTACGAGTACATCTTTAGAAGTTTGAATTTGTGGAAGCTTCATACAATTTTCTAAAAAAAAAAGTCGGGTACTTAATGTATTTTTACAATACATAGTATAGAATATTGTTATTATTAAATACTTATAACTAATAAAATAAATATATGTTAGTTAATATTTAAATCGACATAATTTTTAATTTTGATGTAAAAAATTGGTAATTGGTTGGTAATTTCAAGGATGGTTACATTTAATGAAAACTATCAATCAAAAAAAAAATATTTAAATTAATTTTTACCAAGAGTCAACTGATTCATGGTGTCATCTAAAAATTAATGAATGTACATTATGTACATACATATACATATTTGCTAATAATATTATGTACGTAACTACACACAAATTTTTAGAAATGATCCAGGAAAAAAATTAATTTGCACCCAAAGTTTTGATTAACCGGAAAACACCATTTTCATATTTTCGGTTTTAATAATTTTCTACAATTGTACAAATTAAATGAAGCATGTATAATTTTTAGAAATTCTGTCGAATTCATATAAATAGCATACAAAAAAAAATGTTTGTAATTCAATATAAAACGCTTAGTTACGGTGGAACTTGTTTACGCTAGCTTACGGAAGCTTGCTTACCCTTCAAAAACTTAATAGAATTTTTTGTGCCATAACTGGATATCCAACGGTTTACTAAACGCAGTTTATTTTGTTTCTATTTCAAACTTATAATAAAACAAAGTAAATTCAATCTTTCTTCATTTTGATATAATAATACATTTTATAATAAAGCATTTTTTTCGTCATATATAAAGAGGAAGAAGTACATATGTATATATGTATGAACATAAGAGTTAATACTTTAATTGATGTGGATTAAAAAAGTAACTTAAACTTACTATACGCAAAATTGATATGGAATTTTTTATATAAATTTAATTGTTATCTTTATACAAATTTATATATGTATGTACGTACGAGATTTGTATATATATCTATGTATGACAAATATATGGAGAAAACTACTACATATATGTACATCTATGTACGCACTAGTATAAATCAGCAAATTAGCAACTTAATGTAGCACAAGTTTATAAATGAAAAATTTTATATAAGGGAAAATAAAAATACATATGTAGGTATAAATAAAGAACAATTAACGCTAAAAATGGATGTTAAATAAAAAAATTTAAGTGACACTAGAATGAATTCATAATTATTGAAAATAAATTTACTTATTCAATTCGTGTAAGTCGTTAGTTTTTTCTTTTTAAATTTTTTAATTCTTTAGCTTTTATTTTGGAAGTTTTTGCTTTGTATCTTCAAATAATATTGCTATTGAAAAATTTATTTTGAATTAAATACCTTCTCAAAAATATGTATAAATTGCAGAATTTGATAATATGTAGTGTGTATGTACATGTATACTTCGTTGTTATCAATATGGTACAGGGCTGCCAAACCTGAGATAATTACCCAAAACTGAGGTATATTTGATACAACTTTGTAAAACCTGTGATAATTTGGATAACTATAGTTTTTATGAATTTAAGTTTAAATATAATAAATCTTAGAGTACTAAATCAGACAAAATCTAAAAATTTTAAATTTGAAAATTCGAAATTTTATTTTAAAAAAATTTTTATTGCAAGTTTTTTATCATAATATATATGTATGTCATCAAAAATATTTTGTCATGTAAACGAGTCACTTTTTATTTTTATTTAAACAGAAATGTTATTTAAATTTTGTTTAAAATAAATGAAGTATATTAATGTAAGTTAATGCCCAATTTATGATTCACTCTTTAAAGTTTATTTAAATTTAAACTTTATTAAATCTCAGTCTTGAAATGCCTGGTAAGCTTATCTGCTAACGACCAAGTCTAACAGTGGATAGGCAGCATTAGAGCTACATATTATACAAAAATCTGGTGTCTTAGACTTTTTTTCGGGGAATTTTTTCATTGTCTATTTGGTATCGCTGGTTAGCTAGTAACTAATTTGAAAAATGTACATAAAATACAAATACCTACACAAACATATACGAGTATAATACTCATTATTATAGTTATTTATATGTATATGTATGAATAGATGCATGTGATTAAAATATAGAAATTTATTAGATGAAAAGCGCTTTAATAGCAAAATGAAAAGGTCGTCTAGTTTAATCTTGAAATTATTTTTTTGGATACATAATCGAATATGATTAAAGTTAATGCTATGATGTTAAAACGTAGCTACAAAAAAATGCAACAAAATTAATTCAAATAAAAGAACTACTAGTGAAAATGAATGCACAGATAGTACAAGCAAATATAAAAACGAAAAACTGAGTGAAGTATTAAAAATTTTTTAGATAACAAAAAATTTATGTGTATATGTATGTATGTAATTGAAATATTGTACAATTTCCTATGTAACAAACATAGTAACTAATTTGTCAAAAAAATAACATTGGCTTGACTTTAATCAACAATCCATCAGAAAATTAAAATATTAAGCGATATAAAAGCAATTTTTGATGTTACCATTGAACTTAATTTAAAGTAATGAAAAATTTAGCAACCAATAATAATAATAACAGCGTGTAAATTATTTATGAGTAATAATCGCGTGTAATAAAATATTAATAAAATATAAAGAAAATTTAAGATAATGACGATGGTTACCCTATGTCGCACGGTTCTGGAGTTATAAACATTAATTTATATGCAGGAAAAATCTAGTACCTCTTTTTAAACAGCCTGTAGCTCGAAAACGAGTATATCTGCACCCCTCTCCCCAATACATACAATTTTTGCTGGAAATTGACCTAAGAATAATTTCTGAAATAATTTGCCACCTTATTCGAAACACCCTACATATACAAAAAATGCATATTGAAATATATAATTGTATATAAATATGTATAAGTTCCTATGTACGAGTACTGTATATTTTATACGTAGAATGTTTTTTTAATTGCTATGGATATACGAGTATTATGATCTATCTTTGTGTGTAGCTAAAATTTTAGACATTAAGTAATTGTTGTGAGTATTAATGATGGTTGACTTGTGATAAATATTACTCCAGTGAATAATTTCTTCTTTCAATCTTATTTTTAAATTATAAGTTTATGATGTTAGTTTGTCCCGCCTTCAGTTGAGAAGTTGTTTTCATATTGTTTCTTTTACCAAGGGTATTTTTAAATCGTTTCTTATGGTGGAGTTTTTTAAATACCATAAAGCTCTAACAATTTGACGTAGTATCTTGGACTGAAACTTCCCAATATTTCTATGTTTGAATTGCTTGCTGTTCCCAGCTCAATACCGTAACACCAGACGTGTTTTAAAATTTTATAGAAATAACTGTAAATATGTTAACAGCCTATAGGCACGAATGTATGTTTTTATACATATTAGGTTTGTCTGGGATAAGAAAGTTTTTAAAAACTTTATAAAGTTTTTGCATGAAAAGTGTCTGGGATAACACTTTTTGAACAAAAAATGAGATTAAATTATGGCATTCCCATTTTCTCAATGTTTAAGTTTTTTTTTCAAGTTTTGTAAAGTGGAATTTAGCGTTTAAAAACTTTTCAAATCTTACAGCTGTCGAAACATATGTTTTTCTTGGCTATATCAGAAGATTTTATTTTTGAAAAAAAAATTTCACCAACATTAACTTTTTTTTTCAAAACTTTTCAATTAAAATTAAAATGAAATAAACAAAATGGATTTACAAATGGTTTTTTCTAAGTTTCACATTTTTATAATCCAAAATCAAAATTTTTGGTTTTTGTAATAACCAAAAAATATTTTTATTTTATGTTTGATAAATACTTTGAAATTTGACGTTTATCACCTATTTATAAAGTTTTTAAAAGTTTTTTCAAGTTTTCTGTCTGGTTTATGTTTTTTTAAGTAAGAATTTTTTTTTCTTTTTGAGAGAAATGAAGTCATTATTTCTCTTTTTAAAGTTTTTCCAAGTTTTATCCCAGACCTATTATGAACCTTCATACGAATGTGAACAATTATTATTAGCAAAAACAGAACTAATCTGATAATATTATTTTATTTCAAATTGCAATGGTTTGTGTTCACCTTTCCGTCATACTAATTTATAATTACAAATTAATATTATTTTTCAAAATTCACTAAATTAGGTATAACAATCTACTATAATATTTATATTAAAAAAAAAAACACAAACTTTATAATATACCATATACCTAGGTATATAAAAATATTTAAAATTAAATTTAACGATTATTAAATTACTGTGCTGAAAATACTTAATTTAATAACCGGTCTCTAAACATTTCTGTTCAAATTTATTGATTTGCTAATGTGTTTATTTACTTGGTTCGAAAAAGTAAGTAGGTACGTATCCATTTAATTTTTTTACCGTAACAATTTTTGCAAAAAACTTTTGCAAAAAAAATATTTTGCAGTGGTTACTGTAATGTGCATTAAATATTTCAAAAGTACTAATTAACGTAATCTCATTTTTCCTTGCATATTATTTCATATGCAAATCATTAATATTCACGTAAACTAAACAATTTGTATTTATAGGTTTGTTCCCTCATGAATTTTATAAAAAAAATTATTTTAAAATTGCTTACCGTGCAAATTGATTTTACTCTTCTTTCGTAAGTTTATTAATTATTATTACCTTATCATAGATTTATATTTCTTACTAGAATTTTATATTTACTTTTGAAAAGAAAAACAACAAAAAAAAATTGATAAGATTAGATATGAATTTTACTATTCGCAATACATGCATACACAGACACATGTGCATACTTTTAGATTTTTAATTCAATTCGGTTTTGTGTTATTAAATCACTTTTTTTTGCATATTTGTACGTTTTTTATAAGAAAAATAGTTTATATCTTTTGATCAAATCAACACTTTTATATTACGATAAGTATATTAATATATAGATATAAAGTTACGTATGTATTTATGTATGCTACTTAGCAATTTATTTTTTATTGAGATTTTTCTAGAATATTGAATATTTATAAGGAAATCCACGTAATCACCTGGATAAATATGTATGTAGGTAATTTTATAGTAAACATTCTTAACTCGTGAAATATATGTATGAATACATATGTATGTATAATTTGTATATACAAATATTTAAAAATATTAACATACATACATACCTATAGGTAATATAAATAGAGAAAACAACGATTAACACTTTCAAGGAAAAAAAAAATAATGTTAAAAATATGAAATCATTTATTTTATAATTTTTGTATATGAAATTTCGTTGTATATTACATATATTAAAATTTCATACATACAATACATCATGTATATGTATCAAAACACAGAAAACAAAACTTGATTAGGTTGCTGTAAATTTATTATGTGAGGAATTACTGAAATTTTAGTTTATGCATTAAATTACTTTTTTTATATCTTAAACCACTTTAATATTGCAATTATTAAAAACAAAAACAATAAAATGCTGAAAGGTTACGTGATAGAAATGATGACAATGTATGTTGCTCTTTAACTATTTACACATTTTGATTTATATACATAATAAAATATTATAGTTTGTCCATATGTATACATATGTATGTATGTATATTTATAATATATACATACAAAAAAATTTATTCTTAACTAATAATTAAAAATGGTATGGTCATAGTAAATTAATTAATTTTCAATTCACGTTCTTAAAATGTTATTCCGGCCGTTTTATTTTTGACAAACAATTTTTCAAATAGAAAATAATAAGAATATTTTATAAAAAACTGTGAATTCTTATACTCTACGTATATGTATTTGTTTTTTAAATAAATATAAAAATATGAAACACATAAAAACAAAAAAAAAATTAAATTAAAAATCTTTTTTTAACGACGACTAGCGAAGATACAACAATTATTGTTAAATGCTTTAACCGACTAATAACGCACCTAAAATTTAACTGAATTACAAGAATATCAACTTAAAAAAATTTAACTAATGATTAAGTGAATATCAAATAAATATATAGATATACCTACATACATTCGTACGTATAGGCATTGCATGTATATAAGTATAGTTATCTCTTAACTCAAAATTTACTCTATACATAAATTAAAAACTCGTATATGTATATGCATATGTATATGTACCTACATATTTGATTTTGTTACTGATTGAATAAGTATATAGAGAGTACAAGTATGTATGTATATATTACCACGCGCATTATTAATGTGGTTATATCAGTTTAAGAAGATCCTCTCATTTTAGTATAACTCATAATGATTTGATCATTTTATGTAATATGCATTCATAACAATTGTGTTTGTATCATATATGATACAAAGACGAAATTGCAGAATTAGTTATTGTCATGCCGTACATACGACAAAATCTACGATTTAACTTGAATCTATGCTTACCAAAGTATACATATCTGTTAAGAAGTAGTTCGACTCGTTCTATTCCGTTAGTTTTCTAAAATATTCCATTTTTCTTTAGAAATAGATGGTAATAAGAGTTGTGTAGGCAAGAAAAAAACAAAATATTGTAAAAAAACTAGTGTACCAAAAACATAGAACTGAAATTAAATTAAGTTTGTAAAAGCTTGGTTATTTTTATGTTGATAACAACAAGATTTATTTTTTATAATATGAATACACCATTTCTGCTACCTTGTAATAAAATGAATTGCAGAAATGAAACTCCCTCTTTTAAAGTTCTCAATATTTTTTCTTATGTTTTATAGATGAAAAAGTAAGGAACTCCCGCTTTTAAAAATAGATTATAAAAAAACAGGTAGACATCAATTGCGTACTCTTTCCTCTCCCAAAAATTCCTATGTGTATAAAAATGAAAATAAGAAGGAATATTGCTTAATTCTTTTGGCTAAAAGAGAATTTTTTGTATAGAAATATTAGTGAGTGATTGCATTAGCATAATGTAAACGGAGAGTCGAACTACTTCTTGGGTGGATATACTTCGATGCTTACAGGCTTACTGTCAGATTTTTTGAAAGTAAAATGGCGACAATTAATTTGTGCATATTTTGTTAAGTTGCAAACTGATTATGCTGATAAAACAAATTCTCTGCATGGTGGTGTAATCACACCCTCATTCTGTAAAACACATGAATCGATGATTATTACTTACGCGACAATTTACTCTTCTATACGACTTATCTCACTGCACGATAACCATTTTGCATCACTCTAGTTTCGCAATCGATATTTATCAATATTAAAAATACAAATTTTATAATTTGTATTTTTAATAAATATTTTTACTACACAAATAACAAATTAGCATTGACAAAAACAAATTCTACCAACATAACTAAAGTTAATGTCACGTATTTTACAGAATGGCAAAGTTAATGTGAAGTGATGTGATAACATTTGCATCATTTATGTATCTTACAGAATAACATCCAAAACAATTTCAATTTGAAACGACACTGACAATTTCAATTTAGCAATATTCTGCCCAATATTTTAATACAAGTATATAACTTATAAGTAACTCCTAGCAATATTTTGTACAGGTATACTTAAATAGTTTCAGGTAATAACGTATAATTTAATATGTGGACGTCGATCTTGAAAAGACTGCGCTTTATTTATTTAAAAAACAAATCCATTAATCTCAACTGATTAATATATACGTTAGGTGTAGATACAATATGTGTATACTGAACTCATGCAATTTAATATTGTTTATTTAACATCTTGATACTTTTTGTAATTGGGTATGTTCCATCACAATTTCATTTGTGAAATGTATTGTATTATAATAATGAGTCATTAAATTAAATTCTCTTTCATGTTTTTTCTCTCTAGTTCTCTCTACTATGTATTTACTAACATATTGTATTGTAAATTTGTATATTATATATTATATGATATATAATATATATTATGTACTGTTTATTACCGTTACTGTATTATATTGATGGTAGCACTGTAGCAGCACTAGTATTTATTTATGCCTATATACCGTATGCGAATGCTATTGTAGCGAATGCAGCGTTATTTGTTGATATTACAGAAAAACTGAAAAAATTTCCTTAAAAAATTTGAAAAATCTGGCTATTTGAAAAGAAAAAGCACTGGCTTAAATTCTGGTAAAAAACCAGAGTTTTATATTTAATTTAAGCACATTTTTATTGTCATATATTTTAATCAATAAATGTTTAACAAAACAAAACAAAAAAAAATAAATCGTAACAGTTTTTAAAACGTTTAATATAGATTATGTATATTAAAAACTATTCTTATTACGATGATGATTCAAAAATGCCTAATATAGTATTTGCGAAAAATTACTTGGTGAACTTATTATGTTTTAAAGCATTACATAATAATATTGCATTTAAGGTGTTTTTGACACAGTTTGTTTCTGTTTTGAGATTTATAGTTATTTGTGACAGGAAAAGTTCGTTCTAGATTTACTAATTACGCTAACGATGAAAGGCTAAATAGATTAAAGGACTGCAATAAGAGTTAACCATAATATTAATGCCGAAAGTGGTCGTCTGGCAATTCTCCCAAAAACCTAAAAAATCAGATAAATCTGGCAATATGGGTACGTTAATTGAATGCAATGACATCACTGCTATAAAATGTAATGACGACATACTCAACGACACAACACTTAAATATAAATTGTGTACATACTTCAATATGTATAGTCAACTACAATTTATTTATTCTGGTTTTTGTATGATTACGATGACCAAAGATTGTCTTTTCTCAAATTGGAAACTATGAGTGAATTTTTTGGAATAAAATAAAGGGAATCGTATAAAATCTAGAGCTGTAGGCTTAGTTGTTCTTATAGGAAAAAGGTAAAAACTTTTGAAAATAATTTTTTTATTTCATTTGAAAATGTAATATGTACATATGTATGTGTGTATTAATTTTCATATCCCAAAAAACAGGTGTCAAAACAAATTTAATTATTAGAAACTTGTTGAATTTTTGGAACAAATGTCAAATAAGTATTACATAATTGAATATATTATAATGGTCTCAATTTGAAAGTAAGGGAAAATTAAATTTATTAACTTCAAAAATATGAAAAAGCATAGAAAAAAATTAAAGGGTAAAATATCCCTTTGTAATGGTTTGTAATTGTAAGTGTAAATTTTAATTTTGAAAGAATATGATTTGGTTGCATTAATCGTGAAACGGGAGGCATAAAGTTAATAAATAAGTTATTATAAATTTTATTGAAAATCAACATGAAATCTATTACATACATAATTCAGAATAAATATGTATATTCTGCTAGTATTAATTGGATAATACTAAAAAATATTTTGGCTTTCAGTGTTTAATTTCAGATTTTGAAATTAATTTTAATTCTCTTAAAGATTCGTCCTATATTCAATAAATTTGTATACATAGTTTTTTTAAATTTTATTGTAATTCAATATGTCTACTTAATAAAGAAATTTGGAAATCGGAGCTACACAGCAGTTTTAAAGTTATAAAACTTCAAAATTATTTTTTGAAAGTTTTAGCCATTCGAGTTTGCCTGAAACAAGCTATATAAGCAAACAATGTGTGTATGTCTAACTAAATATGCCTTCAAGTTGAATTAGAATAACAAGTCCTTCGTTAAATTTTATCAAAAATATTTGATAAAACTATACTTGGTGTTATTATTTGATAAAACATTTATACTACACTTGGGCGGACATATTATGTACGTACATACATATGTATGTATATTCAGTCTGTTTGGTATAAATTTTTTAAGAATTGTATAAAACGTAAAAGAATAATTAATTTTTTAACCATATGCAACAATAAAATTTCAGTTATACAAAAGATTAAAAATTGTATTGAAATTTTGTCGATTATCATCATTTACGAGTATATATATTTTTGTAGAACCGGGTATTATGTATGGACATGTGTTTTTAAACCATTACAAATTACACGTAAATACATAAATATGTATACATAATGGATATGTGACTACATAAGTGCACATAATTGATACATGAAAGCCGATGAATTTAGTTCCATGTTAAAATTAAAAACTTCATATAAAAAGAACAATAAATACTAAATATATTTTTTATAACATTCTTGACCTGAACTTTTGAACTTTCTAATACAATTTTCATTTATAAAGGAAAATTTGTTGCCTTTCTTAATGATAAAAGGGCATATAAGGTCCGTTTTGAAGTGTATGTATACATGTAGATATATTTATCTTATCTGTATCACTCATAACAGAACTAAAAACAATTGACATTATATAACAATGTTAATTAGATTCTTAATTAAGTTTCATTCTGCTTTTGTTTGATTTTTATTCTTCATTATTTCTACGATTAGTACCTATAATTGATAAAAGCTTGAAGAGGAAAAAATATGAAAATTGAAATGAATTGGTTATTTAACATTTGTATACTGGAATTAAAAAAGTTTTTGATTTTATTCTTATAGAGTACCGGTTGAGATTATGTTGCAAATTTAATTTCGAAATCAGGAACTAAATTTTCCATGTCATCAGAAAAAGTTACATACTTTTAGTTTTGTTTAAGTTGTCTCAGTTTTTCGGCATTTACAAAACATCGTTTAGTTGGTCATCTCTTCAGTGTATTTCTATATAAAATATTACGTTATTGATCTTTAAAGATACATGAAAATATATTATAAAAAAGCCAATTTTTTACCAGAATTGTAATTAAATTTAGTAAAAAACAGAAGTTTCTATTACGATTTTGTGGAAAATAAAATATTTTTTTTTGTTTTAAATTTAATTTTTTTACTTATATAAAGATTCCTTTGTGCAAACTAAAATTGAAGATCCCGCAAGATATATGAAAAAAAAAAGTTACGTATGTGACATTTATTAACAGTGTGAAAATTCTGAAATATAATTAGGTATTTTGCAAAGTATTTTTGAAAAACTTTTAAAAT